GTATGGTCAGCGACGGTCCGTTGGTAAGAGATAAGGATGTGGGCGGCAAACGGCGCCAGACTCACCATTTTGGATGATTTTTTTTGGGGGTTCGGGGGGGAGAGAGTAGAGTTGTTTTAGGAAGGGAGAGGTGGGCGCTCTTTCACTTCGTAGTTGTGAAAAGAGTGGGTTGGAGGAGAAGAAAGAATTGATGACAGAGACGGGAGATGGCGCTGCAGGGCTGCTCCGCAGAGAGGATTTTTTTGCCGCAATTTTCCGTCGCTATTTTTTGCATTTTCTCCAGGCGGGACCTTTTCGGCGGCAGCGAATGTGGCTACAGCCGCCTACTCGGGGCTCCGACGGCGTGCATGTCGATACCGCCAGCTTGCCAACAGCTTGCTCAGAATGCCCTGTCAGCCTCACCAGCGTCCACTCCCTCCACCTTCTCGCCATCTGCAGCATTAGGTCTGGCCGTGTACGGGCATCTCGGCGACCGCTAGGCAAAGTAGAGGAAAGGTATGGATAAAGTGTATGATCCGAGAATGGAGCCCGGTAGCCGACTTCTGGTGATGCTGGACTAGCAGCGTAGACTAATGGTACGCCCTCCAGCCCTGAGATTGGAGTGACCTCGCCGGATCCGCCATCAGCCCATACGGCATGAAACGGCGTACGCTTGCCTGGGCGTACATCGGCACCAGCTACCCGGATCCGGATACGGGGGTGTGGAGGCCATGTCTACTAGTGTTGTGCATAAGGATGGCAATGGTAATAGCAAGGCACATATATGAGGCTGATTAGATCTTCGCTGATTAGTGTGGGCTAATGAACGGCGATCCATCAATCACATCCCCTTGGCAACGCCCACGCGTCACCCACATTCTTGCGCCCTCTCATCCCATCATTTCTGGCGATGTATATATACCACTCGTCTCCCACATTCTTCAATCCATCCCCCATCCCCATGCCTCACCTCTGTACTTGTCAAACCAGCGCACAGACACAATCTCGACACCCTTCCTTCATCCTCATCGCGTCTGCGCTCATAATCATGCCTGTCGAGAAAGTCTTTTGGACAATGGTAAGCCATTTCGATCTCCTCTTAAACTTGTATCTGACAATGCGCATAGCAGCCTGCTGTCACCTCTTCCATGGTACTCCGCTGCCTATACAACACCGACCGCGCCTCTGGACGTCTCGATGCCGACGATGGCTTACTCCAGTCAGTAACTTTCTCACCCTTCCCTACCGCTCACAAGCTGACATCAAGTAGCCTGCCACCAGCCCAGCCGTACCCCACACCGTACAGTCAAAGTGGATCAATGGATACTGGGTGGTGGGGATAGATACGGCCTGTCAGCTTGTATTTCTCACCAGCAAGTCCCCTTTTACCCCTCGAGGTCGTCCAAGAAGCTAACATGACGACAGACTCGTGCCCATACCAATCACAGATCCGGCCTCGCGAATCACGCCTGGCGCTACGTATGGAGCGAAGACTTCCCCTTCTCCATCCTCGTATCATGAGTCAGATTGCCCCCCACTTCCTTCCTCCCTTCCTCCACCGCGCCAGAACTCTTCCTCCGTGACTTTCCTTCAACTTCCCCTCTCAACATCTGCTCCAAGGCTTGTACTCCGAAAAGCAAGATCCAAACGCCACCGTCTTCCGGAGTGAGTCTTATCTCTGGACGTCTTATGGCGCAGTGCTGACCTCATGTAGCGGCCATCGATTCTCGTCTAGGTCTAGGCACCCTGCTGCAAGCCGACGCTACCACTAACCGCCTTCAAGTAACCATCACGCAAATTCTTCACCCCTCTTTGCTCGTCAACTACGCACTTTTGGTCTTCTGGTCCCTGCGCGCCGTCATGCTCGTCTTTCTCCTACATGGAAAACTCGGCCACCCGAATCGGCTTCATCTCCTCGCCCTCCTTCTACAAGGCAACTCTGGCTCAAGGACAGGCGCTCTACTCAAGACGTCTGCGTCAGGGTAACGATGATCGGGAAGGTGAATTTTGTTCTTCCATTCCCAGACTGTCGCTCATAGGGATACTTCTTGTTAGTACGACACTCGTCCGGTCTGCTGGCGCGCACCGCTCCATGTCAGGTTCTGGGTGGGTCTACCTGGAAAGAGGTCGGGATTCACCCCAACATAAATCTTTTCTTACATACGACCTCGAAGACACCAAACCGAGTACGTCTATCATATATTTTTCTTCATGCACACTGCTGACTATTACGATAGAATATGCGGCATGAAAATTCACGGGCGTCCCTCCTCCTTGGCGCACCTCTCTTCAGCCCCTCCCTGGCCCCTCCTTGGCCTTCCGTGGCCCCTCCTTGGCCTTCCGTGACCTCTCCTCTTTCCGTGGCCCCTCTTTGGCCACTTACCTTCTACTCCGCCCCTCATCCTCTCCCTCCCCTCATCCTCTCCCTCCCCTCCCCGCCCTCCCCTAATCTTCCAGGCCCCTCCTCTCCGGCCTCTCCCCCTGTTGTTCCGGTACCGAAAGGTACCGAGCTGGATATTCCGTTTCGCAACGCCCTCAAATTCTTCGCTAGGCTGAGCGAAGCGGTTTGCCATGAGGCTTGTGACACCGTATACCGGGCTCCAGACTCTCGCCGAACGCGTAAGCACAGGACGTTTTGGGCCAATGGTCCAAGTGACTATGTAGGAACCAACCCTCGAGATCCACTTGGAGGGTCCTTTACGTTCAGGGAGCTTGACAAGCCCCAACGCCCCCTCCCCAAGTGCTCTGATTGTGGCAAGGTCTTTTCGACGAATGGGAACCGGGATATTCACGTACGTACAGGTTGGTGAACCGCCAATCATAACGCTAAAGGGAAATCATAGAAGGTTGATGTCCATGGACCAAAGACGTTTGCATGTCAGCATGATGGTTGTGTGAATAGGTACGCGAGCGAGTGGAGGTTGAACCAACATGTACGTATCGGCCGGTGGATTGCCCATCAAAACGCTAATGGAAAGCACAGGTGAAGAAGGTCCACTCAGAGAAAACAGTGGCGTGTACAATAAAGGGGTGTGTGAGGATGAGTGCGACCAATGCAGAGCTGAGAAGCCACGTACGTATCGGCCGGCGCATTGCTTATAAAAACGCTCATGGAAAGCACAGATGGAGTTGGCCCATTCCAACGGTCATTCGACGACCTACCACCTGGATTCGGCTTTCATCTCGTATGCGGAAAATCAACGCCTACCGATCGGACATGGAATACATGTGAGAATCATAGTACAGTCTCGAGCAAGTCGATGACCAGTACACAGCTTCCCCAAGATGCACTGGTCCATCCTGAAGCTGCAAACCCGTGATCTGGGATGGCACTTCTCCACTGGGCAGCCGAAGGACGCCTTCAAGGATCGCTGCCTTGCCAACCTCTTGTCGAACAAGAAGCTGAAGAAATTACTCGAAAACATCATCCACCAGTCCTTGGTGGGAAGTTGAAGAGGGGCAGTGAAAATTCATGGGCGTCCCTGCTCCCCGGCGCACCTCTCTTCAGCCCCTCCCTGGCCTCTCCTCGGCCTTCCGTGGCCCCTCCTCTTTCTGTGGCCCCTCTTTGGCCACTTCCATCCTACTCCGACCCTCCCCTCCTCCCCGGCCTCTCTCTCCCTGTTCTTTCCTTCTCTTACTCTTCCTCTCTCTTCCTCGCTCTTCGACGAGAATATCGCATGTCATTCGCTGCCATCGTCGCTGTTCCCGTACCGAAAGGTACCGAGCTCGACATTCCGTTCCGCAACGCATTGAAGTTCTTTGCTAGGCTGAGCGAAGCGGTCTGTCACGAGGCGTTTGATACGATTTACCGGGCTCCAGACTCTCGGCGTGTGCGTACGCACAGGACGTTTTGGACCAATGGTCCACGAGACTACGTGGGAATGACATGAGACTGAGAATAGGTATAAGGAGAGGGAGGAGGAGTTTGAGGCCGGGCAGCCAAAACCGCCGTCCTATTGGCTAGAACAGCTCATCTGGTGGCCGCCTACCGAGGCCAGCGAGGAGCGCCCGGAGGATGTCCGGGTTGACGAGCGAATAAACGCCCAAGATCCCCTTAGAGAGTCGTTTTCCTTCTGGGAGCTAGACAAGCCCCAGCGCCCCCTTCCCAAGTGTTCTGATTGTGGCAAGGTCTTTACGACGGATGGGAACCGGGACATTCACGTACGTACGGGTTGGTGAACTGCCCATCATAACGCTAAATGAAAATCATAGAAGGTTGATGTCCATGGACGAAAGACGTTTGTATGTGAGCATGATGGTTGTGTGACGAGGTTGGCGAGCGAATGGAGGTTGAAGCGACATGTACGTATCGGCCGGTGGATTGCTCATCAAAATGCTAATGGAATGCACAGATGAGATTGGTCCACAGAAAAAACAGTGCCATGTAAGATAGAGGGGTGTACCACGATGTTTGCGAGCAAAGGACAATTGAACGCACATGTACGTATCGGCCGGTGGATTGCCCATCAAAACGCTAATGGAAAGAACAGAGGAGGGTGGTCCACGGAGAGAAAACAGTGCCGAGTAAGATAGAGGGGTGTGAAAAAAAGTTTGCGACCAATGGAACAATGAACAAACATGTACATATCGGCCGGTGGATTGCCTATCAGAACGCTAATGGAAGGCACAGTTCAGTAGGGGCCGCAAGCACTAGTTTAGAAGCCGATGCGTCCTTGATGGGAAGTTGGAGAGGGGTGGTGAAAATTCATGGGCGTCCCTCCTCCCGGCGCCCCTCTCTTCAACCCCTCCCTGGCCCCTTCTTGGCCTTCCGTGTCCCCTCCTTGCCCTTCCGTGTCCCCTCCTTGGCCTTTCATGGCCCCTCCTCTTCCCGTGGCCCCTCTTGAGCCCGCTTGTTCAGTGCCAACATGGCTCGGTGGGAGCAGTGGGCGCCGGAGGAAGTGGCCTTCGAGCTGCAACAGCTCGTACGTTTGATCGCCTTCTATTCCAAGTCAGCTGCTGACTCTGCTGTAGGTCGGTCACTACGGCTGCCGCATGTGGGCGCAGATACTTCTCGGGGGTGGTTTCACCTTCGTGCTGGCCACGCCAACTGGGTCGCTTCGAGGGATCGTTATTACTCGAAAACATCATCCACCAAGGGGCGTGCCTTTTGTTCTACTCCGGATGGTCTCACAAAGACTGTCTCGAAGAGGGTACGGTGCGATTCAATCAGAAGGCGGTCCACGACTACTTGCGAGACGCTTTTCTGGAGGAAGGGGTCTGGGAGCGAACGAGGGTCGACGGCTTTGAGCGACATTGGGCGGATCCCGAGCGAAAGGAGCAGGTCAAGCCGCTCCTCCAGGACACCAACAAGAAGGATCCTTCTCTCCAGCAAGAACTGGCGAGGGCGATTATTGAGCCTTACAAGGAGGCTCGGGAGGTGGCCGAGGATATCTCGATCGAGAAAGTCGATCCCGGGGAGAAGATTCATGCTCGAGGAGGTTGGGTCTACGTAAGTGAAACCACATTCTTGTGGCCTATGCTGACGTTTCACAGCATCCCTTCGCCCCTGCGTACGGCCGATTCGACCGCCAGAACAACGAGGTCGACCCCACCGCGGCAGACTTCTTCAAGTTTGACCGCAACCTCCGCCGCCACGCCCGAAGCGAAGGCAACTCTTCCATTGAGAGTCGTCTCCCACCTGTTGCTGAGGGCTCCAGCCGGTTCGGAGGCCAAGGTTGGCACCACGTCCATGGCGTGAAGATGGTGACTGCTGGTCTTGTAAAGCACAGATGAGGTTGGTCCACGAAGAAAAAACAGTGCCATGTAAGATAGAGGGGTGTACCACGATGTTTGCGAGCAAAGGACAATTGAACACACATGTACGTATCGGCCGGTGGATTGCCTATCAAAACGCTAATGGAAAGCACAGTTGAGGAGGGGGCGCAAGCACTAGTTTAGAAGCCGATGCGTCCTTGGTGGGAAGTTGGAGAGGGGCGGTGAAAATTCATGGGCATCCCTCCTCCTCGGCGCGCCTCTCTTCAACCCCTCCCTGGCCCCTCCTTGGCCTTCCATGGCCTCTCATCTTTCCGTGGCCCCTCTTTGGCCATTTACGTTCTACTCCACCCCTCATCCTCACCCTCCCCTCCCCACCCTCCCCTAATCTTCCAGGCCCCTCCTCCCCGGTCTCTCCCCCTGTTCTTTTTCTCCCTTCCCCTTCCCCTTCCCCTTTCCTTGGCCAATCACGATGGCACCAACAGGCTTTTCCCGCCAAAGCTCACGATCGAATCACAAAAAGAGCTCTCGGAACTCATTTTCAATGAAGCCGGTTGTCCAGGTGACTAAATCACTACACGTGATATCACTCACAACACTGAAACTCCCTGTAGCAACCTCGTCCGATTTCGACAGGACCGTGGAGCTGATCCTCGACATTCCCATGCCTGGATTAAGCTAAATTCATTACCCCCACCTGGTAGAGTTGAGCACCGTGGCTGGCAAAAGAAGGGTCTGTTCGTCTTCCCATTGAAGATGATGACAGCTGAGTTGTTCCTTTAGCTACTTTAGTTGCTTAGTCTGTGGCTCGCAGTTGGCAGACGAGTAAGCAGTCCCACATACTACAGTGCGAGAAGCTCACCATGGCCAGGAGTGCTTCTACCGTCAACGCGCACACACGCCCATGTATCCCAAAGAAAATTACGAAAGCCCTTCAAACACTACAGCCGGCACCCTGGCGGGGACATTCAGTTTGGCGTGCTGACGGGCCGATGGGCTAAACCCAGGCACTCCGCAGATGCGACCAAACTCGTCAGAGCTGCCTCTAGGAACTTGAAGAACGGCCCGACCGTACGTGGATGCCCCTCTGGCGATTGCGAGCACCCGTGAGTCTCATTCGGCCTGCAACAAGGTCAATATTGACCCTTATTTGACAGTGTTGACATGGCATGGAAGATCGCTCATCACCTTTGGGCCAACCATGGGGTGTCCACTGCCGGCGAAACCAACACGACAAACTTTTGTCACTGGTGTCGCGAGTAGTGAGGTCATCTCATTCTCAACAAATAGGCCCAGCGACTAAGACACGATAACAGCTTTGTGAATTCCCATCGATGGGAGGATCATTGCGCTTCACACCATCAAAAGATCGTGCAACCCATGGTCGAGATGGCCCAGGTGTGTATCACCAACCTCATCATGGATCTCTTTGATAGACCTTTCAGTGTTCGGCACCCGGGGATGAGAACCTCAAATGGCCGCACTTGATTGAATTTGAGTCAAGTGTCTGTTACAACCCGGGGCTCTGCCCGTTTTGCTTCTTCGAGGAGCCAGCTCTTCTCAGTTACTCGATTGTAATGCGACAGTGAGTATTAGGTCGAGGTGCCATGTAATCTGCTCACGCAAGCGATAGGTTTCACAACCCCCTTACATGCAAATCGACGCCATAACCCCCTGCCACATCATCGCCTGCGGGCAATCTTGCCACACTCGAGAACAATTTGTCAACCACTTGATCGGTCACGGGATACCTTTCACCACTCATCTTGTGCGCTGGGCTGGGGGGGATACGAGTGGTCATGCGACAGGATTCAAAGCACGTAACAGTCAATATGTTTCACTGCGATTTCCCGAGCTGCGCTCAGCCTCCTTTCCCTTCGGAGAAGGCAGTGCGGGCCCATGTAAGATACCGCTCCCTGCACGATCGACCACAACAGCTGACTTGGTGCGGCATTGTTGCCCTACCTGTAACAAGATGTTATCCAGCAAGAGCAGTTTGATGCACCATGTAGAACACTCTCTCTCTTCTTTCTGGCCAGAGTGAGCTGATTTTCTGCAAGATGAAGGCTTTTGTGTCAAAGCCGATCCGGCGCACGCCAAATCCCGGTGGGGCGAGCATGGGTTCGACAGAGACGAGCCCGTAGAAATCAAGCACCTCGCGAACGGACGTGCAGTGAGTTCTCACAGACTCTCGTTTTCTCTGCTGACTGTTACATAGCCGACCCTTCCATACCAGGCCGCCCAGTGGCGTCTTCTTTACCACAGACTATATTGGAGGCCGGGCATAAGTGGAATAAAAAGGCTTGCATTCATACATCTTGATTCAAATGCATTTCTATTCGCTTCTATATACACACCAAAACGTCTTCTTCGTTCTCTCCTTCCCGTACAAGATGGTGGGGAGTAGTGCCATGAATGGATAATTATGAGCCTATACGACACGGAGATAACCCCCTCGTAAAAGTTACAAGATTGAGAAGTAACATGATATGCAGCCAAGATTGCGATCTGTGTCCATCAAAAACCCAAAAAGCGACAAGCAAAAGGCGTCTATGCTCTAAACTCGGTGATCATGAATGGCAGCAACACCACACACGCCGACCAGAACTATACCCTCGTCAGCTTTCATCCCAACAAAGAGGTGTGTGGGTGGGAGGGGACGTACGACCCGAAGAGAGAGAAGCAAGTTGATCGGAAGCATCACAACCGCCGCGAAAACGTTCCCATTCCTCCTACCAGGCGGGCCTTTTTTGAGGAGGAGGTAGATGGAGTAGAAGGCGACGTTGAAAAAGTGGTAGAAGAGGACCATTGGGCGGGGCGTCAGGCTACCAATCAAGGGTCAGGAAGGGTCAAGAGAGTAAGGAGGAAGGGGGAAGGGGAGGGACGTACGCTGAGAGAAGACCGACGGGTCCTGCGACGCAATCACCGCCGAGCTCGAAATAGCTGAAACATCCTTCTCTCAAGATCGCCAAATCCGATTCTACCTTTATCAGCCCCGCCACATTCAAAGAAAAAAGGACTCACTATCAGACCCTCCAAAGAGCGAGTACAGCGCCATACTCAACACATTGACCACACTGCTAACCTGCTTTCTCTCCCAGAACCACTCCCTCAACCTCTCCGCCACCTTCTCCCAATCCTCCAGCCCCTCCCGCCCTGCCGCCAACCCTTCCTCCGCCGGTCTACCACGGAGCACACCGCCGGGACGGAGGTACTCTGTCAAGAGGATAGCATCGTTGAAGGCGACCGTCATGCCGCCGCCGGTGAGGGGGTGACGCATGTTGTAGGCGTCTCCGACCAGGACGGCGCCTTGGAGCGAGTTTTCGAGGCCTTGGATGGAGGGTGGGAGGTAAGAGTTGGGCATGGAGCGGATGCGTTGGGTGGAGAGGGCGTTGAGGAGGGGGTCGCGGAGTTCGACGGGGATGTGCGGGAGGTAGTTGTCAATCAAATAGTTCTACGATCGTCAGCTATAAACATCAGCTTGAAGGAAGAGACCTACTTTCAAAGAACCATCGGCAACGCTAGGGAGCTTGCCCTTGACGTCCACGAGCATCCTGATATCCCCCGCCTTGTCTCCGATCTGATATAACAGCACCGGCCCACTCGGCGTCAAGCATACCGTCCCATAATGCTTCATCGGCAGCTCACAGTCATTCAAGATCAAGCCCACAAAGTGCGATCGCGTATCCGGCACCCGCGTCCGCGTCCCAGGCGTCAATCGGAATTTCGAAAAGCACCCATCGGCGACGATCGTCAGCGGGGCATAGTGCTTTTGCGCATCAGCGCCCTTGGGGGCGGCAGAGACACCGATGACCTTGTTGGTGTGTTGGCAGAAGAGCAGGTCGCGCACGGTCGCTTCGAGGACAGTGACATTCGGCGCGTCGTGCAGACATTTCCGGCGGAGCGCAGAGATCAAGCGGCCGTGGTGGAACGAGCGTCCTTCTTTCAGCCCCGATGCGCTCTCGACATGCCACTTTTTCGTCCTCACCCCCGCCTCCTCACTCTCCCGCATCTCTGGCCCCTTGGACGCATCCGCCCTCGCCATCTCTTCCAGCACGGGGTACGGAATGCCCACCCGTTCTTTCCCATTACACACGCAGTACCCTTCCACCGGGCTCGCATCGATCCCTTCCAGGACGTCTTGCATCCCGAGCTTGACGAGGGCGGCGACACCGCCAGGCTGGAGGAGCTCGCCGACGATACGGTCTGGTTCGGCGAGGTCGCGCTCGATGAGGAGGATCTTGCGGCCGGTGTGGGAGAGAGAGTAGGCGAGGGCGGTGCCGACGACGCCGGCGCCGATGATGATGATTTCTGGTTCTGGCGAGGACATGGGGGGGCTGGGGTGGATGGATTTGGAAAAGTGGAAAGCGGAGCGCGATCTTTTGAGAGAGACACGATCCCCAGGCACGGCGCGTTCCGAGGAAAACAATCGTCCCATCAGAGAGCAGTCGTTTCTTTCGTTTCTTTCCGCAGAGGGCCAATCCGCATTCCCCCGATGCATTCTTCCCGGCTAGGTCCTCTCGGGGCTGGGGGTCGGGTGAAAGAGGGTGAGACGATGGACAAGCGCGTCGCGTCCATGTAGAATAATGTCCCGTACATGATACAACTATGCTACAAATGATGATGCTATCTCCTCCTGCCCCTGCCTCTTTTCGGAGCTGGTTCTCCCCCTCTCCCCCTCTTCTTCCCGTCCAGCTCGACCTCAGGTTTCACCAACTCCTCCCCACCTCTCCACCCCAGACCCACAGCCTCCGCCCACCCTTCAACCTCTTCCACCCCATCCGCCCACTGCTCCTCTTCCCCTCCCATCCAGCACATCCCCTCCCCATTCCATACATAGCGCTCCGCCAGAAGATCTTGTATCGCAGCGTAGCCTTCGGCGTTGGCATACGGCGTGAGCGTGAGGGGATGGCGGTATCGCGCTGGGAGGCCAGTGAAGGGGCATAGGGGTGGTATGCGATCTACAGTATCTTTGTCAGCATGGATCTTGCAGTAACACTGAAGGGACTCACTGATGGGTCTGTTTCTCGCCGGGATCACTTTGAGCTCGTCCCACGCTACATGATCTCCCAGGACCAGGCCAAATTCGGCTGGTAAGCCGCCGGGGATTTGAGAGAGGATGATGTAGTTTCGAGTATACTGAGATGGGGCGTTTTCAGACGGGGGCACGATGGGGACGGGAGGCTTCTCGGGTTCTGCCTTCGGGGCTTCTGTCGTGACTGCTTTTGAAGCTTGTTGAGGTTCACCCGGCTCGCCCTCTGGCGGGTCATCTTCTACATCCTTGGCGGCGTCCGGCACTTCATCCACCAACTTGCCCACCGTCCTCGATACCCAAGTCCACCTCGGCCCCTTGACCCTCTTCCTCCCCACTTTCCTCAACATCCGCTTCTCATCCTCCTTCTTCAACCAATCCCTCAACGCCTCCTTATTCCTTTCCTCTTCTTCCAGCGCTTCTGCAATAAGCTCGTCTTGCGTGAATTTCCGTTTGTGCGGCTGGGGAAGCCCGGTGGTATGTTGCGCTTTACGCCCCTTACGCCCAGGCTGCTCGAGCGCGAGGAGAGAGAGCTTTTCCCGCTCGATAATCTCTGCTTCATTCTTGATCGTCGACGCCCTCAAATTCGACCTCCTCACCTCCGACCTCCCCTGCCGCTTCATCTCCCTCCTCCTCCTCCTTATCTCCAAAGTCAACGTCGACGGCGCCATCGTCGCAGGGTCAATCCCTTCCGCGCGGAGCATGTCGAGATCAGACTGCTTAAACTCGCCTGCACCTTCGATGGCGATCTTCTTCTTCTTCTTGGGCTGTTTGGCGAGGGGGTCGTAGAGGGCTTTGGATTTGCCTTTTTCTTTGTTTTTGGCGTGGCGTTCTTCGCGTTGCAGGGCGCGTTCTTCGTCGTCGCCGGAAACTTCATCGTCCGTATCCGCAAATTCGTCGAGGTAGACATCGCGTTGGTCGACTATGGGATGTCAGTGCTGTCTTGTTATACTGAAGGACATACCAGGAGCGACGAATTCTTCATCATCTTCGACTTCTTTGAACAGCTCATCGTCATCCTCTTGGTGCGCCTTCTCCAGCAGCTCTCGCATGCTACGAGCGTCAGCATGTCCCGATATAATACGTTTGACTTACCGGTTACCCGCCGTGCTTCTCTTTGCCCTCCCTAATGTGATGGTCTCGTATTCCATGGTTATGGTATAGTTGTATCGATCTGCTGCGCTGGAATGAGAAGCGCAATAAGCGCCATTTACGTAATCCCATCCGAGTCATGACTGAACCACAATTCGTCCATCTCCTCTATCTTTTCCATCGCGCACCATGAGCACCCCTCCCTTCCTCCCCCTCGTCGACCCCACCGCCCACGCCCTCCTCCCCTCCCTCGCCCTCATTGCCCCCCTCCTCATCCCTGCCGCCCTCCTCGACGTCGTCCTCCACGACCTGCCTCCTACTGCCACTTACTACGTCCAGGCTGAAAAGTACGATGGCGATCTCATCACCCTGCTCGACAACGGCGCCCAGCGTATCGTCGTCTCTCCTTCACAGCTCAAAGCCCTGAACGGCGCCATCCCCAAAGAGAGGCTTATCGTGAAGCTCTCTGAAGAAGAGCTCGCTTCGAAAAAGTCGCTTGCCGAGCAAGTTGCCGGGCTCTACATTGTCTCGTCCACCGCGCACACGGCCAAGTCTCTCGGTCTGTCTGTGGACGTCTTCCTCCAGCACCCTTCGCCCAACGTGTCCGAGCTTGAAGAGCTCATCCGCTCGGCCCGCCCGTCGTCATACGTCCTCCCCACTGAAATCCTCGCCAACCACGCTACCACCACCTCCACCCACCTCTCCATCTCCGCCGCCTTCCTCGCCCCCATCACCTCTGACAGGCCAGACGGGCTTTTTCCCTCCATCGTTGCCTCTGCCAACCACTCCACCAAACCCCTCGGGCTCGTCTACTCCTCCAGAGAGAGCGTGGCTGAAGCGATCCTGACCCAGAAAGGCGTCTATCAATCGAGAAAGCACGGCTTGTGGCGTAAAGGCGAGACGAGCGGTGCTGTACAGCAGTTGGTGGGCCTGAAGCTTGATTGCGATGCCGATGCTCTCGTTTTCGAGGTAGTGCAGCACGGCAGCGGGTTCTGCCACTTGCCCCAAACCACCTGTTTCGGCGGGTTGAACGGTGTTGCGAAACTTCAAGATACGCTCCAGGCTCGTCTCGAGAGTGCGCCCGAGGGGAGTTATACCAAGAGACTGTTTACGGACGAAAAGCTGTTGAGGAGCAAGATTATGGAAGAGGCGGAAGAGCTTTGTGATGCCGAGAGCAAGGACGAGGTGGCTTTCGAAGCCGCCGACCTGATCTACTTTGCGCTCACCCGCTGTATCAGCAAGGGCGTTTCGTTTACCGATGTCGAGAAGGCGCTGGACAGGAAGAGTCTGAAGGTGACGAGAAGAAAGGGCGATGCCAAGCCCAAGTGGGAGAATGCCGGGGAGAAGGTCGTGGAGAACAAGGAGGTCAAGTCGACCGTCCCCGAGCCTTCCAAGCTTCCCGCCTCTGACGAGCCTATCCGCATGCGCACCGCCGTCCTCTCCGAGCTGCCCGCCGAGGAACAAAAGAAACTCCTCCTCCGTCCCGTCCTCAACTCGTTGGCCATGATCGACAAGGTCAAGCCTATCGTCGAGCGGGTCAGGAAAGAAGGCGACGCCGGCTTGCACGCCTTGACAGCGCAATTCGACAAGGCCGACCTTGCCTCCAACGTCCAGCTGCCTCCGTTCGCCACCCCCGGCGAAGACGTGCTCCCTGCCGACGTGCGTGAAGCCATCGACGTCGCTTACCAAAACGTCAAGACTTTCCACGTTGCGCAGAACGAAAAGGCGCCTCTTGTCGTCGAGACTATGCCCGGTGTGACGTGCTCGAGGTTTGCCCGCCCCATCGCCCGAGTGGGTCTTTACGTTCCAGGCGGTACCGCCATCCTCCCCTCCACCGCCATCATGCTCGGTGTCCCCGCCCAAGTCGCAGGCTGCAAGACGATCGTCATGGCTACCCCTCCCCGCCCCGACGGCACCATCTCGCCGGAAGTGCTGTACGCTGCCAAGCTTGTGGGGGTGACTTGTATCTTGAAGGCGGGCGGAGCGCAGGCTGTGGGTGCGATGGCGTATGGGACGGATGAGGTGCCAAAGGTGGACAAGATCTTTGGGCCGGGGAACCAGTGGGTGACGGCGGCTAAGATGTTGGTGCAGAATGATACAGAGGCGTTGGTGGCTATCGACATGCCCGCCGGACCTTCAGAGGTTTTGGTGAGTCCTTCTTCCTTCTTTCTGTGAATCAAGCTGATGATGGATAGGTGATTGCGGACCACACTGCCAACCCCATCTTTGTCGCCTCCGACCTCTTGTCCCAAGCCGAGCACGGCGTCGACTCCCAAGTCGTCCTCGTCGGTATCAACCTCTCCCCCTCCCTCCTCAAAGCTATCGAAGAACAAATCGAAACCCAAGCCAACGCCCTTCCCCGAGTCGCCATCGCCCGCGAAGCCGTCAAAAAGTCATTGATCGTCTTGGTCGACAGTCAGGAGAAGGCTATCGAGTTTAGCAACGAGTATGCGCCCGAGCACTTAATTTTGCACTTGGAGGACGCGCCGGGGGCTGTAGAGTTTATTGAGAATGCCGGGAGTGTCTTTGTCGGTGCATTCTCGCCCGAATCGTGCGTCCCCATCCCCCCCCTCTTCACGAAACCCCACTGACATTATGTAGATGCGGCGACTACGCCTCTGGCACAAACCACACTCTCCCCACAAACGGCTTTGCCCGTCAATTCTCCGGCGTCAACACGCTGTCATTCCAAAAGCACATCACGTCGCAGTTTGTCACTGGGGATGGGTTGAGGGTGTTGGGGCCTACGGTGGTGAGGTTGGCGGAGAGGGAGGGGTTGGAGGCGCATGCGAATGCTGTTAGGGTTAGGTTGGCCGAGTTGAGCAAGTAAAAAATTAGAACATCAGTATCGTAGTGGGTTTGCATTTAGATCATCGTATATCACAGACATTACTCTGATTGTGCTGGTGGTTTGATCCTCCTACTCTCACTAATACACAACCATCTCCATCCTCGACTTTCTCCTCATCTTCTTGCATACCAGTTGTTGTATCTAACCTTCTTGTCGGCGTTGGTCCACCCCATCATAATCGTGTGTGATTACGTACGGCATAGGCTTGCAATGCGATGGTGGACAGTTCACGCAACCTGAATACTCCAGCCAACCGCCCCAGGGTCAACTACCATGTCTGCCCGCTAAAGTTGACTTCCGGCAAGAGATTATGCCTCTCCCGCAGCACGCTTTTTCAACCCAAGCATAGCCGCTACTCCGCGCTTCTCAGACGCAAGCCTTCGGTCGCCCTCGGGACCATCCTCCACCGAGCGAGAAGAGTCAAAGTCGATGAGAGCAAAGCGGCCGTCGGCGCGTCGGAGAATGTGGCGTGGCTCTATGTCACGGTGAAGAACGCGCACCGCATGAATTTGATGGTAGAGGTCTCGGATAGCCTGTCTGAGGATGTGGTCAGCACCAGACCATTGTAGCTGCCGAAAGAAACTCACCTATCCTGCACAGGCAGATCCCGCAGCTCACCCTCTCCGGCGGCTGGCCCCCCGACATCCTCCATCAATTCGATATGCAATGGGTAACCCCCAGAGACAATCCCGAGACACATTGCACCACTGAACGAGCCGTACACTGCGGGGACAGCCCCTCCTTGTACGCTTGCAAGAGGGCCACTGTACAGCGCCGCCTCGAGACGATAGGCATCCACTGCCTCTTCGGAGTCTTCGAAGTACCCTTTGTAATACTCATCTCCATCATCATAAGTATCCGGGCACATGACCTTGGCGACGAGCTTCTTGCTCACACGTCCTTCGACGGTGAGGATGGCGTGGTAAACGTCCCACAGGCGCCCAGAGCTGATATAGCTGCCAAGGGCGAGGTCGGCCTTAAGCTCGGAAGTAGGCAGTCCCGAGTGGATGCTGTCGTCGTCGGCCAAGGATGCAATGACGGAGGGCGAAAGGCGACCGGTGATGTAGCCATCATTCAAGTTGCCTTGCTTGAAGACGTGAAGAGCGTCAGGGGAGCGATGGTTGGGCACAGAAACCTGCAGAGTGACGGGACCAAGTTGCTAGAAGAGTATAAATCAGCCATGAGGAAAATGCATTGTGAAATGGCACTGACATCCCTCGAGATGTTAGCGTCTCCAGCAATAGCATTGTCACTTCCAGCGCCGCCAGTGCCATCAACTTTGTCGTATCCACGCTTTGTAGGAACACTACTCGTGCCCCTCAATCTCGAAGCCCCTGCCCCGCTCTCGTTCTGCTCATTCTGCGTTGAATCATTCCCCAAAGCTTTGGACAAAGGCCAGCAGACAGGTAGAGGTGGGAATGTATAGCCGAGTGGGGGTGCGCGTTCCCTCTCAATCACGGAAGCCACCGCAAGCTCCATAGGCGACATCTTGCCGGGCTCGGGCGCAGTTTCGGGCGCAGTCCTATATATTGGGTCACCCATACGAAGCAGGTTCTTGATTTCGGGATCACGCTCGAAAGGGATCCAAACTTCGTAGGAGGTGAGTACGACGAGGTCGAGGTTGTAGCGGTCAAGTTGTTCCCAGAGCTGAGCAAACTCGTCAGAACAGCCATCATAACAAGTCGCTGTAGTGCTCTGAGCTTACCTCGGACAATTCCATTGCCCAGTACATCATTTCCGGCACGATAGTCCCGTCTTGTTCCACAATGCGCAAGGCGGGCCGGACTTTACCATCTTTTCCTGTCCTACTGGCCAGGATGAGCTTCAAGCCCCCCTCCTGCCTGCACGCCATCAACAGACGCTCCAACTTTAGCGACAGATGCACAGAAATTTCCTCATCCAGCTCGTCCTCGTTGTCAGCCTCCTTCCTATCGGCCTGGGACTGGTCGCTGTGATTTGAGTCGCTCTGGGCCCCTCCATTCCCAGCTGTATCACCTTGCGGCCTTGAATCAAGTTCCATTCCAACCTTTTCTGATGTTGGGTGGTCACGGTCATTGGTCTGAGACACCGCACCTTTGCCAGATGTCGTTAGATTGGTGTACAGCTTGACCTCGACGATAGCAATGGCTACACCGTTGCGCATGAAAACCCATTCAGAGGGGCTTTTCTCCCCACCTGAGCGCTACTCCCACTTGCCATGGAGGTGACTGGGAAGCCCGGCATTGATGGCGTCGGCAGAGCGTTTGAAAAAGGTCCACATGACACCATGTAGATGAATCTCAGCACGAACAGTGGTGCCTCGAGTATCATGCCGCCACGCTTCCCGAGTTATTTCCATGAAGGGAGCGATTCCCTTCCCCAGCGACAGCTGCTGAGATCTGAGAGATGCAGAGATTCGTCCGTTCAGGGTTGGGTCATGGACGACTCTGAGACCTTTTCCGTCGAGGTCTCCCCATATGCGGTAGGTTCCGGAGGTGGGCTTTCGTGTGCTCTTGCCGGTCGTTTCGATCTTATATTTGACAGGTTCCAAGGGAAATGACCTGATCCAGGAAGCGACTGACTCGGGTGTGTGTGGAGAGGCGTCGCCGATGCCTTGCATGTTGGCGTAGGACGTGAGTTGGCGTGGGCGTGCCACAGGGATGGGTGATCGGTGGTAGTGAAAGATATATGTATGGCCTCTACCAACAATCAGGTAGTTCGGCAGTTTCGGCAGAGCGGGACGGAATGAAAAGACATATGATACGTGACCATAGGAGAGCAAACGACTGGCAAACGACGACAGCAGTGGTGTACTTGCACTTATTGGGCCACCCCTATAACAGACCTACCCTCATCTATCGATTCTGAAGTGTGCATTTCTAGAATTATACCAAGGAAAAGTGCGATGCCCATGCTAATGCTGTTTACAAATACAAGTACAAATCTATCCCCTCTTGCCTCTATGCCTCTCGTCTAGATGTCACAGCCTCGCTACTTACCAGAATCCAACCTCTTCTTGACCCCCTCCCCTTCCTCCAAAAGTGCCACATCCATCCAGATCCTCGCCTTGTTTGTCTTTTGGTACTCCGCCCCGCTCACCCACTCCACCCCTTCCCCTTCCTCTTCCCCTTCCCCCTCCCCTAGCCGATCCGCCTCGGCCTTCTTCTCCCACGCCTTCCCAGCCACATCCACCGCTGCCCCCTTCTTCATCTTCAACACCGGCAACCTCTGCAAACACTCTTCCAACGCCGCCTCGCACTTTGTCTTGAGCTCTTGCGCCACTGGCCTGTCTGGAAAAGACACTTCGAGGCGGAGGCTGAGCCAGATGTAGAGGACGAGCGATTTGTGGAGCGTTTCGAGTTTGGGGAGTGCGTTGATGATGAGGGGTGGGACTTTATTGTTATTGAGGAGCCCTGGGATGGCTGTTTGGGATAAGGGTGGCAGGGTTTGGCGCGTTCCGAGGACGTCGTCGAGCGTTGGGAGGAGGTCGGTGGTAGAGTATACAGACTCGACCGTCACGCACCCCAGCGTCCCATAATCATCTACCAAATTCCGAAACACCTCTATCGCATTTTCATCCCTCGAGCTCGTGGGCGCGAACGAAAAGAGGTCGATCTCGCCGATGGACAAGAACGGACGGTATGGCTCGATGAGCTTTGAACGACATGAGTCCAGCAGCTCCAACTCTCCGTCCAATGCATTATAGTAGATCCTCTCCACCAGTCGCCTTCCTGTATGTCATCTAGGGCTATTATGGCCACCGGCATGTTGAGCGATGCGTTGTGGAACTGGAAAGTACTTTAAGCTGTAATTCTGTCCCGACATGGAAAGTCATGCATCGTCATCGGCTCCGCCGTTCCAAGTACATGTAGTCGTAAAGTTATTCGATATGTTTCAACAATCTCGTAGTGTCTCGGACTGAGAAGATCAATCATGTTGGGGCGTCCTGTTATTAAATTGAAGCTGCCCGCGGTCAGGTCGGTCACGGTCATGCACTTTTTTTTCGGTGACCTAACCTGACCGTATGCATGACCTTACATTAGAAAGCGGTTCATTGAGAGGGTTGTACGCTGTCCATATGTAGGCATCGCCAGAAGTTGTAGCATACAATTCCATCAATTGAGGCTCGTATAACGCGACCTTCACCATCATGCAGAGTCCCTTGTTCAGATCGAGCAATTGATAACGCGTGGGAACTGTGGCCATGACGACTCTACAACAACAGTACGCGTGACGCGTACAAGCACGACCCCCACAAAGTGCTTGCATGCAAGGTATCATCTCAGAATTTACATAAGATCGTCGTGCAGGACAGTCATGATTACATCGCAGACATTACTCTAATCTTGCTGCTCCAGAATCTGATCCACCAACTCTTGCTGCTCCGCATCCATCTCCATCTCCTTCACTTCCACCTTGGCACCCACCGGCGCCTCACCCTCCTTGATCTTGACCTTCTCCTCCTCTTCCTGCCCCTTCTCCTCATCTTCAGCGCCCCCGTGCCATCCACCAGCTTCATCCTTCTCCGTCACCGCCGGATCTCCCGCATCATTCCCCACCGGCGCTCTCAGATCTTCCTGCTTTGGCGCTTCTTCGCCTTCGGCGATAAAGACGGCTGAAGACTCTTCCATCTGTACCTCCGGCACAGGGCCGACGGGGGCGAGAGTCTTTTCGTCAACGGGCTCGGCTTCTTTTTCGAAAGCGTTCTGGATGGGCTCGGGGACCTCTTCGACGAGGGTGGTGGTCGCAGAGTCAGGGCCGAGGTCGCCGCCGATCTTGACGGAAGACATGGCGGGGGGAGTGGAGTGGTACATAGCGAGGTTGTCGTGGAAGTCGGCACTGTTTCCCCGTCAGTCGAGTTCGACATTATGATAGAGAAACGTACCAAGAGAAATCCCAAGTCTTCAACCATTTCCCATTCTCACACCCCTGCTTCGTCCACTCCGAAGCATACGCCAAACTGCTCCAGTGATTCCAAGCCCACAAAGCGAGCAGCAAAAAGACAGCAGCCACATTCAGCCTCACCTTGGGCTTGAGCGTCGAGGTGAGATAGTCGAATACGGTGCAGAGGAGGAGGACGGCAAAGTAGAGGGAGGGGAGATAGTGGTGCAGGAAGAGTTGACGCTGCATGAGGAAGAAGGGAAAGTAGTGGAGACTCCAGCCGATGATGCAGAACGCGCAGATTTCGTCGTAGAACGCAGTCTTGGCTGTAAGACCATTAGCGCTACACCTGATAGACCACAATCTACTCACGTTGATGCAAATCTCTATAACCTCGCTGGGCCCTCAACACCAAGAACGCTCTCACAGCAAGATAAGCAGCAATAGCCGCAGTACTGCTCCACCACACAACAGGGTTACCAATCAGGTAAACCTGCTTGTGGTCCTTCACCCAAAAGTTGATACCTCGCCTGAGCCAGGGCCAGTGCTGGGGTCGAGAGTCGTATGCGTGTCGCTCAGTCAAACCGGCATTGGTGCGCCACATGACGGCGTTGAGCTCGAAAAACTTTTCGAAAAAGCTGGGTCTTTGGTAGTTGACCTTTTCGGCATCGTAGGGCACTGCTTTGCGTTAGTCATGTCCCCTCTGTAGATTAATAACTCACATTGAGCGTGCTGATTAGTCTCGATATACCACAAAGAGTTGTCCCAAGTAGGGTTCCTATTACAAGTAACTTCCTGCTGCTCATACCCCCACTCGGGAAGCTTGACCTTGTGAGAAAACAAATAACACCCGCTCAACGCATGTCTCAGCCTAAACTCGCTCCTCAACGTCCTCAGCCTATGCTTGGCCTGCCTATCACTCTTCCCCCTCGTCTTCTTGGTGATCTCGACGATAAAGTCGTCGTTGGCATCACCAGCGAAACCGGGGAAACCGTAGCCAGAGACTTCATTCTGGAACTCGACCTCGCTGACTGGGGGTCGGATGTCGTGCGAGTGAAGTCGTTTTTCGGTGGTGACGTGCTCCAGACGGATCTTGGTACCGGTGAGGACTTCTTCGAAGGGAAGGTCGTCCCAGGGGAAAGAAGCGGGACCGTCGGGGGAGGAAGCGTTGACGATTCGCCAGACGTTGTTGTCGTCTCGGTGCGGATAGAGAGTGATTTGTTGTTCTGCAAAACGTCAGATATGAATCTTTGGATATGGACGCGACTCACGTTTGGATCCAGCGGGGTATGCGTGGGGGTGAGAGTGGAGATAACCACCCTGGGTGTTGACATGTCGAATGCTAACCTTGGAGCCAAATCCAACATCTATGAACGGTCAGCGACACCGCTACGCGCTCAAGATTTACTCACCGGCATAGGTATCCTCCATCCCGTGTCCCTGCAAGGTGTGCTGGAACTCGGAGCTCATGAATCCATCCCCATCACCACTCATATCCAAGATCCAGAAATGGATCTGGAACATGGCCATGTAGAAGATAACCGGCACGATAATCAGACAGAGCACCCTCGCGGAAAAGTGTCGAATGTACTGCCTGGGCGTGACTTTGAGATTACCCAACAGCAGCCAAAGCTGCCTGATAGTTCCAACACCGACCATGGCGATCGTAAACAGCCCCACCCATTTACACGAGACCACCGCACCAAGACTGAGACCAGTACAGAACAGGTTGATCCACCAGTTCTTGGTGAATGCCCGGCCTTCAGAGTCTTCGTTGGCGAAACGGACCCAGAAGAGGGTGGTCAGGCCAGTAAAGAAGACGAGGTAAGAGTCGAGGAGGATCAATCGGGATTGGGTGATGAGGGCGTTCTCGAAAGTGACGAGGAGGGCGCCGAGGAGAGCTGTCGTGTGGGAGAGACGGAGAGCAAGGAGGGTGAGGAATGTGAGGGGGATAAGGGCGATACCGAGGAGGGCTGGGAAGAGTCGCATGATGATATAAGGGACTCCAGGCTCGATATAGTCCCTAGCAAAAGTCAGCTCCGTCGACAACTACTTCTCTTTCGACTCACTTTCCGATATCCTTGAAATCAAACTTTCCATCAAACCCTCCTAGCCATGCACTCAGAGTGATCAAGAGCTTGGCGAGCGGAGGGTGCACATCCATAAAGAACTTGCGCCGGATATACTTCATCGCAAACCCTCCAAAGTGCACTTCATCAAAGCTAATCGTCTGGTCAGCCTCCTACCCAGATTCCAATTCCTTTCAGAAGCAACTCACACAACACTACTAGGCGTCACGATTTTCCACAGTCTCGCATACATCCCAATGACCACCAGGCCCCCAACCATGATCCACTCCCTCTTTGTGATCTTGCCCGACCCTCCAGCGGCCGACCCCTTCCTGCCCCCAAAAGCCGCCTTCGTCAACGGCTGGCTCTGCGGCCCAGACTGATGATCTCTCAGACGCGCATCGGCATCAGATTCGACAGTGACTTTTGAAGTATAGGTGGAGGGTTGGGATGGTTGTGGGTGGAGAGAGCGGCGGGTGAGTGGTTGCGACATGCTTGTCGAGTGCTCTTTGTAGAGCTGTACAGATGCTGGGGAGGTTCTCTGCGCGTCCCTGGGCTTTTTGAAGCGATGCCCAGTGTTCTATGTGGGTTGACAAAGGGAGAAGAGAGATGAAGACGAGAAAGGAAGTACCAGCAAACGACTTTGCAGCAGCGCGACGCGCAGCCAGACACGTCCTCACAGCTTCTCGAGTGGAGGTCGCCGCCATCGCTTTTCTGGGCAGCCTGGGCGACATCTCATTCATGCATGGATTGCATGCTAAGACTGCCCAGACGTCATCTCGGGTTGGAGTTCTGTTCTTCATCATTTTGTTCAAGAGCGCTTCGAAGCTCGCAGAAGCGTCACCTCCTCGCGCTCTCTATCGTAAGCTCTTCAACCCTACCCTGAACAGCACTGACCATACCATGCAGACCAAGTCATCATAAAATGTTACATTTATCTTCAATCCAGCCTATCCATGACACCATCACTCCATCATCCATAAAACGAGAGAGAATTGTCCAAAGTTATCATTACAAGAACAAGACACTTCCAAACGTGCCGTCCGAGTACTCGTACAGTATAACGCGTGTCTACACTTTCTTTCTTACGTCTCTTTTCGTTCTAGCCACCGCCTGCAGCCTGCTTTCCATTCCAAAAGAGGTCATCGAAGGGTCGTCAAAACACACAGTTTACAGTGAGTGATGCCGTGGGCTTAGGTACATCCGTCGATCAACGAGTTTTTCTGATGATCCTGTCAGTAAGGAGATCTCGGCCGCAAGAAGAGTGAAAGAACTCACAGGCCATGAATATCCAGCCTCTTCCCACGTCGTCCAGTCTGCATCCCCCATCAGCTTTCTTTCCCATCCATCAAGAAGGAACACTCACTTGGGTTGCTATAAGCCTCTAAATGATTCTCAATATAACTCGCCGTCGGCCTATCAGACGGATCACATCCCATATACCCATCCGACCTCTGCCACACCCTGACATAATCTACCAGCATCTCTGCAGGCGTCACGAGGTGCGCAAAGTCGACGGCTTGGAAGTTGTTGGACATGCCAAAGTTGATAATCTGTTGATGTGTTAGCTCTGGGCGTCTGGGCGAGAAGGGGAGAAGGGGAGAGAAGGGGAGAAGGAGGTACGTACCATAGCCATAGGCTCCTCTGAGATGAGTCGCTGGCCAATATCCATATCCTCCACAGGTCCCACCGACGCTGGGTACATCGTCCAGCTCTTCACCCCATTCGCGACCCACGTAATATAGCCGTTATCCCGATCGTCGGGGTTGGTATAGTATTCAAAGCCTGATCTCGATCAGCCATCTGAAACGAACAAAGAGAAAGAGGCTCACCGTAGATCCCGAACCCACCGCTCGTCTTGACATAATTCGCATTATCGATATACGTCAAACTCGACACCGCCTCCTGGTACACGCCTCCCTTGTACGAATTCCACTTTGTCAAGTCCGTGTCATACTGTATCGCTCCCTTGCTCGTATTCAAATACTCATACGACGGGTCAAACGGCGCGACCTGGCATGATTGGGATACTTGGCCTTGGGGGATGTCGAGGTCGATCTGGCCTTCGAGGATGTCAATCTCGGGGACGCCGCGGCCGTGTTTGACGGTAGGACCGGGGTGGTCTTCGCCCTCGCAAGTACAAGACGAGACTCTCTGACCCGGCAGACTATTCTCTTCATCAGCTCATGACTCAACGGTGGATGGGAAAGGGAAAACATACTAGGAGATAGGCCCGTCGTCGGAACCAGAAGTCAAGGCGAGCTTCGGCCCCGTCCCCGCCGCATTCGTCTGGTTCACCAAAGTCCCGCTATCACACGAATCATACGTATACGGCCACGTCCCCTCCGTCGTCGCTCCATACCCCGGTCTCCCCAGATTGCCCATCATCCACACTCCCGGCCAAAACCCGCCCACTTTGTTCGTACCCGGCAATGACACGGCAACTTCGATATAGACGGAATATTGGAAACACATTTGGTTCCAGGATTGGAGCATGCCGGATTTGTAGTTGAGGTCGTGGATGGGCTCTTGGTTGTTTGTGATGACGAGCGAGCCGTCGCGGGTCGTTATCTGGGCAGGGTCGTACCATTCGAAATCGCCCGTTGGCCAGTAGTGTATATCGCTACCACTCGTAAGCACTCGTCCTTCTCCCAACGAGTAGGGATACAACTCACACGGCAGTCCAGTAAGGGTCGTCCCCCGGAAAGAACGTCCTCCCATCCTTATTAAACTCGTCCGAAAACACCAACGAATACTCTTCCCCATCAAACCCTGTCCTCGTATACACATCCGAGGGCGTGTCCTTGTCGATCGGCGACGGAAAGTTGGATATAAGCGGGATCTGGCCCGTACTGTTGATGCCGCCGAGGTTGTAAGCTCCATTCGTCGACTGTTGCTTCGAGGTATAGTATGTGATGATGGGGTATCCCGCAAAAAGGGTAAGGAGGGCGAGGACACCGAGGAAAAGGCAGCCGACGTTGGCGATACCTCTCGTCGAAAAGGCGTTGAAGCGGTTATGCTGCCCCTAACGTCAGCTCGGGCATCGATACAAGAAGGGGAACAGAGCTCACTCGTTTGTCATAAGCAGGATCTTCATTATGCATCCAATCATCATCCTCTGGCCCGCCCGTCATCGCCCCCCACCCAGCTGGGTCTGCTACCCCCGCCCTCCCCGCGCCGCCTTTGCCTTGCGCACCCAACAACATACTCGAGCTCGCCTGAGAATCTCTCCTCGGATCACGCGCGTTGTGGGGCATACTTGACCCCCTGGGGCCTGGTTGGTAGCTTTCATGGCTGGAGCCTTGGGAGCTGGCGGAAGGACCATACAGTCGGCTCGATGAAGGCTGTGCAAGAACAAGACAAAGTCAGCGCTATTCCTAGATGCTCGGCCCAAGAAAGGAATGGGAGAGGAAAGGGGATGTACGGCAGGGACTCTGGGGATAGATGAGGATGGTGAGCCAGTAGGCCTGGAGCTGGGGCGGGCGGTGGATTGGGGGAGGGCTTGGTAGGGGTTGGTTGGGAAAGGCTGTTTTGGTGGGAGAGGTGGTGGGGCGGGATCTTGCGAGTGGTCGTGGAGGGGCACTGCCTGGTACGACATGGGGGCGGGGGTATGCTTTGGAAGAGGGGTATAGGATGAGAAATGGGGAGAATGGGAAAGAGGAGGAAGAGAGAACGAGGATGTTTGTGTGACTGCCTAACACGATACACCCCTCCGTTCCTGCGCACGGCCCTCGCACCAGACCGAGTTGGCTGACAATACAGGAGACACCGATCACCTCTACGGCCTCCCTCTCGTCCATCTCGTCCGCCCGGAGACTCGCCACCAAGACGGGGAAAGAAGGAAGGAAGACTTACCGCGCTCTGGCTCTCCACCGAGGATATAGAGGTGTATCGTTCACCTGCGCGTGCCATTGTCGCTGGCAGGAATCGTCGCTTTTGAGTCTCGAACGTCGTGTCTGTAGGCCCTGGTATGTGGCCGAGATGTGGTTTGATATAAGGGGTTGGTGGCGATAAGCCGAGCGATATCGAACAGGAGATGGTCCAGCGGCAGCAGCTGGATGACGAATGTCCTTCCCTTGTACTGTTGTGTTTATTCAGCGTCAAAAGGCTGTCGAAACTCTTGAAACAATATTGATATGGATGTCAAACAACAAAAGAGTTGGACAAAGAATGCCGGCAATAGCTATCAACCAGCATCCATACTTGATTCGCACAGCGGGCATACGACTCTGGCACACTCTGAAGTCTGATCACCACATCCTCTCCCGTGTCCGCCGTAACACGCCTCCGCCATGCTTCGGGTACCGCCACCGCGCCTCTTTACCACGCCCTGTGCCCTGTGTATGCCACTGAGAAATATCCCCGCCGCCGCTGCCCGCACGTCTCTCGTGTCTACAGCATGCCACATTTCCCACCGCCTCGTGACCGTTTGCCGCCTGAAACCGAAATTTGGTTTTCTCTCCTAGATCTCGGCGCTGTCCCTGGTCCCTATTTTTACACCTCGGTGTTCTTGGTAGCCCTTTCGCGCGTCGCTGAGAAAGGGAGAGGATGCACTGCTTTGTCCTCTGTGTACTGGGTGGAAGATGGGAAGGGATGACGCCGATGACGAATGGTACGAACGGTGGAGTAACTTATTTATAAACATGATGATGGGTGCTTTGGGGCGGGGAGATAAGACAAGCTAATAGGCTGGGGTAAAACGTAAAAACAAGGTGATCCGGAGCTCACCGCAGTCGCCCACATGTCTCCCCGTTGTTTGGCCCCGCACGAGAAAAAGCGCCGATCGACGAAGGCTGTAACCGTTTCGTACCTGGAACTGATACAACTACATAACGCGTCCATGGCTTTGTAACGACTTGTGGCGAATGGCGATGCTATGTATGAACAATATATGATCCTCTCAATGAACGGCTTCACCCATCTTCGCACTCCCTTCCCCGGACTTCTCCAGCAACCGATCCGCCCAGAGAAACCAACACATACTCCGTCTTGGACCTCTCCATGTACTGATCTATGACCGCCTCCACCGTCTCCGCCTCTTCCTTCGCCATTCTTTCTTCTATGATATAGGCGTCCAACCGGTCATCGCTTCTGTCACGGTCTTCTTCTTCTTCGTCACCGTCCTCTTCTTCATCTTCAAGGCCATCGTGTTCTCCAGGTCCGGTTGTTCGTCCGCGTCGTGTTCTTTGTCGCTCTCGCCCTGCCGATCATCACCGCCGCCGCATTCCTCGTCGTCCTCTTCCCCATCCCTTCTCCTTTTCGACACGCCTGAATTTTGCTCTAATGTTGATGTTTCTACTGTCGTTCTCGTCCTCGCGCTTTGTGTGACGGCTGTTCTCGCGAATGTTCTCGCGAAGCGTGGAGTGTTTCGAGAGGGAAATCCGAACCGTCCGCAGGCATATGGGGAAGACAACCAAGCGGCTCCCAGAGCGACTGCTTCTTGAAACAGCCTCGAAGCACACTCAACCATCGAGTACAACACCCTCGCACCTTCTTCGTCGAGAAAACTTGTATCGGCACGAAGAAGGTATGAGTCAGAGTACGTGGTCCTGTCCTGGGGCTTCTGAGGAGAGCGTCGAAAGCTTGAGCGCCACCGACTCGTCGAAGAGCCGTCCCACTCTGCGAAAGGCAAGCACGGAACCACAAACGTCTTCCCGCACTCCTTGTTATCAAGACAGAGCAGTCGTCCGATCTTGTTGCCCTAATGATACACGCCAAGATGGGAGCCGCAGGTATCACAAGCGCAGGTTAACGTATCCTATGAGAAGATGCAACCCGCAAACAAAGTTGAGGACCTCGTCGCCTTCGTCTTAGGTTTTGACTTTGACTAGAGAGGAGCGAAGCAGGTGTAATGCTGGTCTGGCCAGACGTGGAGGTGTCTAGTCAACTTCTGATCTGGGGGTGGTATCTGGCTGGAAAGTGAGAAATCTCAGGTCTTCTGGAGTCTCGCAGTCCCCCTCGACATATACAAAGGAATTGAGGAAGGTCGGTAGGTCTGCGAGGTGGCAAGCTGGAAAGGGGCGGGATTCGGTGCAGCCGAGGGGGGGGGGCACGACTTCATTATGCTAAACCAGATTTAGATGAACCAGTCTTCCATGCCAGAGGAAGTTTTGGACACTTGCTTGGGTGAGTCGCAGATGCAGAGTGTTTGAGACGCGTGAGGTTTGAGAGAGGCAGCGTCGCCGTCGGGGGTCTCTTACAGGAGTGGCCCAATGAGCATCGCCACGTTGGTTGATTCAGCTGTGCTTGCGAGACTGTTCAGTGAACATGTACCGCGACATCGTCAACAGGCCAGGCAGTAGCCTCTCTTTGCGATTTTACCCAGAGACTACTGACCCTCGAAATCAAACGCGCTGGCATATAACACACGACGCTTTATAACAGTACCACACTCTTCGTCTACAACAAATCACCAAGCATATCCTTGATAAACACCTGTTTACCAGTCTTGAAACTCTCATTCGCCGCCAACCCCACCGCCATCGCCAACGCCCCATCCCTCTCATCCGCCCCCAACCCATTCACCGGACACCTCCTCTCCCCCCGCCCCTTCCTCGGCCCAAGCACCTCATCCAACATCGCTTCATCCCCACCCCCATGCCCGCCCTCTCCAACTTCAAAAGGCACGTCCCGGGGCTGCTGCCACAGGGGGTGGAGGGTGATTTTGGAGTGGCCTTCGTTGGGGAGGGCGGCGGTGCCGTGGACGTGCTCGGAGGCGTTGGAGCCTTTGGGGATGGGGAGGCGGAAGGCGTTTTCGATGACTTCGAGTTCGAGACGGCCGTGGGTGCCGTTGAACATGACTCTATAGCCTTCCCATGGCTTTGTGGAACATCAGCTCTGAGATCTACTGCCAAGATAAGAGGAGGGCTTACAGAGTAGGCGGTGAGGTGGTATGTCATGTTGACGCCAGAATCGTAATGCACTAGAACAGACATGTCGTCTTCAATAGTGATATCGTCCGCAAAAACGTTCATATCCCTATGATACCCATCTTTCTTCCCCATCAATTCCATCCTCCATACTTCCAAATGAGAAGACTCACCGAGATGTTCAGCGTCAACATAAAGCCCCTTGAGCCCCTCCTCATCTTCGAGATGAATCGCAAATGGATCATCCTCGGCTTCTTTGGCGTCGAGAGCGCGGTCGTAGGTACGCGCCCAACCGCTCTTCTGGCCATTCTCTTTGCCGTAGAACCCGAGAGACCCGAGGCCAAAGACGGAAGCAGGGGTGGACTGGATCCAGAAATTGACCAGATCAAACTACCCCTCATAAGCTCAAGTACCCCAACAACAGAAAGAACCCCGGCACTTACATGATGCGACGCCTTATGCACCATCAACCCCCCGGACATATCCTTATACCGATGCCACCTCCTAAAATAATCCGCCCCATGCACACTATCCAACAACCACTCAAAATGCACCGACTTGATCTCGCCGATCCCGCCTTCGGAAGGGGGTTTCGACAGGGTCTCAGCGACTTTCCAGTGGACGGGGTTGTATCTGTAGTTGAACAGGACGGTGAGGGAGCCGGCGTTCGGGAGTTTGGTAGACGCGAGGATGCGTTTGGCCTTTTCGACGGTTCTATATGTCTGTCAATCCAAGGTGTGGAGTGAGATGGAAGGAAGGGGAGGGCTTACGTTGTCATGGGCTTCTCGGTGAGGACCTTGATACCAGCTTCGATAGCCGGGATGATATACGCATCATGCGTATAATCAATCGTTGTCACCACCAATATATCCAGCTTTTCCTCCTTCAACATATTTTCAAATTGCGCCTAGCACCACCATCAACCATACATTCACCACCAAAGAGAAAAGAGGGACATACAGCAGGATACTTTTTCGCCTCCGGTTCGCCAGCGTCGAGCAACATCTTGTTATGCCAGTCCATCCTTGCTTCGTTCGTATCGCACAAAGCGACGACGGTGACATTAGGTCGGTCTGCTACAGCTTGGGTATACAGCTTGCCCTCTATCAGCTTGGCCCATCAGGAGAAAGAGAGAGGAAGAGGACATACACGGGCTCGATGGCCGGTACCGACAATGCCCACCCTGCCTGTAAGTTTACCTGTCGTCATCTCGGATGCCATAATGTTTGTCGAGATGTCGAGAATGAGTAGAGACGGCCAAGGGGGGATAGGGGCATGCTTATATGCATGCTTCGGGGGTACATTGCCCCGGGTACACTTCGACAGAAGAACACAAGACAAATGATGGGAGTTTGGATCGGCTCGGGCGGGCCGGGTGGACCGGGAATTGGCGGAAGCTTGGCGGAAGGGGCCGAAGTGCTTCGGACTTTTGAGGCGGGGTGCCACTTTTGGTTCAACTTGACCTTTGGTGGGGGTGTCAAACGGTGGAGAGGGATGTACGAGCATGACCGTTAGATGTGTAGACTGTTAGAGAGGACAAAGACATGCCTCTAGTTCTCTATGTCCCGAACGTAGCCGCATTGTTTCCAGCGCTCGCATAACATGGTTTGATGAGTTGAAAGTGCCCGTGATCCTCCTTGCTGACCTGGGACTCGCAATGCTGTCACAAGAATAGCTCAAGCTGTCGTGATCTGTATCATGGTAGATAATCAATTTAGCAGTACCAAAGCTTAGGAATGTTGTCCCCTCCTTCTTTGCCGCCCAAATCGCCCTCACCGACTGGTGCGCCACCCATCATTCCGCAGCTATCAAAGCCGCCCCGGACGATCATGCGGCAAGGAATGTATAAGTCTGCCCTGATCTGTTTTGGTATGAGATTATGGGAGTACCTGCAATGGTCATCACACACGAGCCTCCCCTGACAAGCTCAGTACAAGTGCATAGTCGAAGCACATGAACAGGCGAATAGTGATGACGCGAGCAGCGGGAATGGCCGTGCGGAGTCAAAATCGGGGTGTGTACGTAAGTGGAGTGTGCCCCAGTGTTGTGACTGCGGTGTTGCCTGTCTCCATCTCTCTCCGCCTCCTCTCATCCCATCCCCTGTACACCCCCTGCCACCCCCCATAACCACTCCCCAGGCAGCCTCGCCATCCCTGTCCGCCAGCACGGCCACAGCCCCCACCCACCACCCCACCATGCCCAACCCCATCCCTGCCAACGCAGTATCCGACGAGGCTGCGCCCCCTCCCACCCCAGCAGAGATCGAGAGAAAGCTGTCCATCCGCTCCATTGCGCCCCCTAGTCGGAGTGTGGACTCGCCCAAAAAGCCAAGAGTGCGTGCATCCACTTGTCTCGCCGGCAGATGCTGACTTAATAGAAACTATCACATACGCTGCAACAGAACCCCCATGTCCTGTCGGGCAACGAGTCCGACTCGTCTATCGCCTCCTCCATCCCAGGCCTGGCTTCCCCCAACCTCTCCGTTCACCCCACCTCCCCGCTTCTGACGCCCGCAACAACATCTGTCGGCGGGTTGTCGGCTATTGCGGAGCGTAAATTCGGCGGGGATGAGGAGATTGATCCGATGATGGATCTGGAGGATGTGGAGGAAGAAGAGGAGGAAGGTGCAGAGAGCGGGAGTGAAGATGGGGAGGGACAGGCAGAGCTGGAGCGGCGCATGGAGGGGGAGCGGGTGATCAAGAGTGGTTATTTATGGAAGAAGCAGGAGAAGAGAAGAGTGGGTCTGGCTTGTGTTGATCGAACGCCGCTGACACCATGGCAGGCGTGGAAGAA